ATCAGGGAGTTATTCCACATTTTTTAATAAATTTGGCGTTTTGTAGTGTTTTGCATCATTTTTAATATCTTCAAACCGAAAGCACTCAATGGAACACCACATTTTTTTCACGTCGTATAACATAAAATTTCTTTCTTTTTGTTGATATAGAGTTATTGGTATTTGCTACCAATCATTTTTGAGAAAATAGATTTTCTGAAAATTTTAAATTATATCGTGCTATCACATTAGTCGAAGACTACCGTTTGGTGATTTAGTGGCATCTCCTCGCAGAAGTGTTCGTGTTTCAAGTACTAACTATTATTTACATAAAACTCCCACAATTTTAATACCGGAAATATCCACTGATAAAGCGTTTAAATCACCGACACTGGTGATCTTTTGAACATCTGGGGTGATGGCCACTTTAGCGAAGTAGTAGTTGTCCACATCTTCTACATAAACTTTTGATAGAATTGCTAGGAAACTAGCGACTAGACTCTAATTACTAAAGGTAACTAAGCAGGAACGCATGCCAGAAGCATATCATTTGGAACTGATGCTGTCTTGATTCACCAGCACGAGTGGCGAGCTTTTTCAGAGAATGTCCACATTCAGCATCAGACATGGAAGGACCTCTGAAGAAAATTGCCACTCATGCTAACGAAACGTTAGAAAGTAATTCCAACCGACAACGGTCTTTAGACCCGAATCAGGACAGCATCAGTTCATCTACTGGCCGCGAAAGCCTTTACAAATTTGTCATATCATATTCATTATGACTTACGTTCANTGTCAACGATATTAGTACTGTAACTGTATGTATTGTTAATTTCATACTCACTTTATTTCATAATTTAAATAAAATAACTTCAAAAAATATTTGAAATTAATTTAAAAACAGTTTTAGTTGTTATTCTTAACTGTAGGAATTTCTTGTAAGGTTTGTTAATGTAGATCTAGTACCTAGTATTTTATTACTGTCAAGCAACATCGGAAAAAATAGTTTATTAAATTTCTAAAACAAACAGTTCAAAATGTGTTCATGTTTTAAACAGTTTTTTTTACGTTTATTTTGAACACATACTTTACACATTTTAAGCTTGCTTTAAATAAGTTTCTTTATAGTGGCATGTTAATATCATTAACAAGTCGTTTTTTACAGTGTTTAAAATACGGGTTTTAAAACAGTTTTAAGCTTGTCAATCATGTGAGATTTTTTCCTTAGTTCACATCTATAACCAATAAGTACTTTTACTCTAGGCGAAGAAATTTAAGGAATGTTTAATATGTTACACTTTGTTTTAAACAATAGATACTTTAATACTGTTAAAATTCATCTGTAAATGACAAAAGTTAACACACTATGCCTGGCTACTTAACACCACCTTTTTCTTATTTGCAAAAGGCATGTATAAATTTCCTCTTTTTTCTTTATATTATTCATTTATAAAGTAGCATCTACCAAAAAATAATCCTACAATGTCCGCATTCACTTCAAGCATTAAGATTTATTAGTATTTCATTAAAACACGAACGTAACACTCTGGAATGTGTATTACATCCGTAGAAAATTTGATACAAAAACAGGTACTTATTCAGCTTTTAATAGATTGTTTGAGTGCTTCTGAAAGAGCTAATTTAATTCAAGATTGCTTCAAATTAATTTCTGACTGTGGATTGTTACGATCAAAAATCGTCTTCACTACTTTTAATTGCTCGACTACTTCGTAAACTTTTCGTAACTCAATAATATGACGCTAAGAATACCCTTTGCCACTATGCGTAATGTTGGCTGCCTACCGTATTGGTTTCATTTACAATTCACCATACCTACGACTAATGTTCTATACTCAATACTTACATCTTTGCGTTTAACCCGAAATAATTAATTTTTAACTCGCATTCTAAATACCAGTAAATTACAACAAAACAGTACATACTAATGCAAAATGCAATTATGTATTTTTTAAAAAACGCAAGATACTGAAACAATACTAATATTCATCAACAGAATAAACTCTCATGCAGAGATTATGTAATCAAAGTTAAATACAAATGCATTAATGCATATTAAAATGTGTGACGCATAGAAACGCATTTTGATTAATTTTTTAAAATGTGATAACTCAGTCCATAAAAAATTATAACGTTATTAATGTTGCATAATTTTCGCTGCAAATTAGAATTCCATACGTGTAAGTATATAACTAATTACAATAGTTTAAGCTATTTTCATGTTTCACAAGTAGTTTTTCAAATCAAGAGAAAATATAAATGACAAATGAATTTATTAGATTTATGCTTACCATTATTGGCGTAGCTATTACTTCCATAACCACCCCCACTGTTGCCATTGCGTTGATTTCTATTACTGCTTCCGCCACTCGATTGTTGACGATAATCACGGCCACCAAAACCGCCGCCTCCATAACGTCCCTTGGTGCCTCGTCGACCGGAGCTCGGCATTCTACCATCATTTGCAACAGTTTCCAACCAGGTCGGTAAATCTTGCTTAGCTTCAATCAGTAAGTCAAGCATAGAAGTCGCCAAGTTACGGTTACGATCGTTAAAGAACGAAGTTGCCAAACCTGCAAAATTTATTGTAGGAATTATACAAACTTAAACTACTACAGATAAACATTCTAGATAAGTGCTTGTTGTAATGTTGTTAATTTAATAACAGCCTAGGTCTTTATCAATTATATTTGGTTACAAAGCCCTATAAAGGCAACCAATAACAAGATGTAACTTACCTAAATTACCCATACGGCCTGTACGTCCAATACGATGCACGTACTCTTCAACATCGGAAGGCAAATCAAAATTGATGACATGTTTAACGTGCGGTATATCAAGTCCTCTGGCAGCTACTGCTGTTGCAACCAAAATGGGCGTATTTCCAGAACGGAACTGTTTTAATGCATCTTCACGCTCACGCTGCGTACGATCGCCGTGAATTGAAGTGACCGGATATCCTTCCTGATGCAGGAATTCTTCAAGCGAGTCCGCACCCTTCTTTGTTTCAACGAAGACAAGTGTCAAACTTTCAGCAGACGGTTGTTGTAAATGCGACGCATTCAGTAGATCGAGCAAGAATGATCGCTTATCATGCTCCTCAACCCAAACAACCTGAAATATATAACTAAATAAAAAGAAACACCACATCAAAAAATAAAATGTTGCATGCCTCAAGAAAAAAACAGAAAATCATTATTTTTTCAGAAACTGTGCTAATGATAGGCTTGTTTGCCAATTCTTTTTATTACATAATTTGAATGCGTATGTATCAAATAGTAAAGTTGCAAAAAATTGGATCTTCATCAGCAGTTCATCTGCTTACCGGTTAAATTCGGTTGCGAATGACGGTATTATTGTTTTAGTGCATTTTACATGTGAGTGACAATTAAAAAGGTCTACATAAGTATTGTAGCATCCGTGCTGTATTTATTTTATACTTTTGTACTCATATATTGTTTACTATTTGTTAGATTAGATTAAATGTGATAGACGACGTTTATTTTTACGGTCAGCCTTAGAGTAGTTCCTTGTTCTTTTAACATTGTAGGCTCGTATTACAAAGTATGTAGACAAAGTCATCTGGAATGCCTACATATGAGGTGATCAAAATATGTATCCACTCACTTCTCTTTTTTCATTTAAGTGATTACCACAGCCTCTCATTCTCTGCCTTGTGAACTTACTTTTTGAGTAATATTTTCTGAAGTCGATCCAACACGTCCAACGGCCAAAAAAATGTAATTGTCTAGGAAATCACGTGCCAATATCTGAATCGGGGAGGGAAAAGTAGCGGAAAACATGAGGGTCTGACGATCACCGGTACGTGGCATCGACTCTTTCTCAACTATTCGCCGAATTTGGGGTTCGAATCCCATGTCAAGCATTCGGTCGGCCTCATCCAATACCAAATAATTGCAATAATCCAGGCCAATTTTGCCTCTATCGATCATATCAAGGAGACGACCTGGAGTTGCAACCAGCAAATGGCAACCGCGATCTAAATCACGGATTTGATCAACAATGTTGGAACCTCCATACCTATAAAGGAAAACGTCAGATTGGAGATAAAGGTATGCCATCATAAATATGTGCTAAAATAAAGCCCGAAATTTACTGAAACGAACATGTATGATCTGCTAGCGTATCACGTTAGTATATCTCCCAATTTTTCGAGACCTATAGGCTCTACAAAATTAATTCTTTCACCACTTTACTACAAATTAGCTACAATTACTCATATGTTTAGATGCCGGGATTAAATATGTGATCCACTAGCGCAATACACGTGTTATTTCCTACGAAATATAAACTATCAATCAAAAAAAATTTGTATAAAAAACGAATTTGATACATATCGATTAAGATCACATTCATATTTCTTTTGGTAATGATTAAGCAAAAGTTTCATAAAACCGTTTAATAGGTTAAGTCAAATAAACTTTTAAGGAAAAAACTCTAACTGAGGATGACACCTGATAGATGCTCAACTAATTTGAAGCCCGCCAGAGTTACTGAAGAATTTGCAATGGTGGACATGTAACTGAGTGTGTATTTTGTTGCAAGAGAACACCTTTACTTTCTCCCACGTTTTTCTTTGGTAATTTAATAATTAAATTTATGTAATAAGAGTCTGTAATTGTGGCCCCTTTCTGTAGGAAATCTACTAAAATTATCTATTCAATATTCCAAAACACGGATAACATGACCTTCCCGCTGAAGGTTACATCTTGACTCTTTTCGGCAATGGTGAGCTCCGATGTGTCCATTCCTCTCTGAATTTGATCTCTATATACTAATGATGTATCCAGGACGCATCCACTTTCACGAGCTTTACAAGAAAATTTTCTTTGTTTCGTCTATATCACGTTTTCATTTTTTTAATGTTCAATTGTGTTATATATATATATACACTATTTGGTATGAAAGACCAGTATCTTAAATAATAATATGAATTTGTTGGATAACCACTCGTCGATCTCGTAATAAGAGATCATAATTCTTTTTAACATTTTTTGTAACATTTGTCCATATACAGCAGACTACAATGCGACGTGAAAAGAAATAATCATTTCGATTCATAAATGGGTCAAGATGGAGAAACAAAGGGATTCGCTCTCGTATATACGATTGGCATGTAAACTATATAATAAACATTTTGATTTTAATCAGCAATTAATAAAGACTAATATATGAGGTGTGCTGATGTAAACAAGTTCGATATTTCAAAACCAGCGTATGCATCTATCGCACATACAATGTGCACTATAGATTTAATTAGCTAAATAGATGCCGTTTGTAGATCTCACCAAGAACTATAACTGCAAGTCTATATAGACCGAATAGCAAGATTCACCAAAGATACTTATCAACAAATAAACTTGCGGCAGAGATGACTTACTACAAGATGATGTAATCAGTTTTTGATAAGAACAACAACGGACTTTGTTAATTTTTTATCAAATATTCCTACTATCATATAAATATTAAACCTCATTAAATATCTACAACAGCATATGATGAAATATTAATTGTATTATGAATAAAAGAATAACAAATGAAGATACTTACACAACACAAGGCCGTACTCTGGATCTATAAGCGAATTTTTTGCTCTCATCATAAATTTGGGTGGCAAGTTCACGAGTGGGTGCCAAGACTAAACCTAGAGGGTACTGTTTACGACGATAGTTGCGACCCTGATTAATGTGCGGTGGTCCACGTTCATACATTTGATTAAGAATTGGCACAAGAAAAGCAGCAGTCTTGCCGGAACCAGTCTGGGCACACGCCATCACGTCTCTTCGTGCTATTATAATTGGAATAGCATACTTTTGCACCGGGGTTGGTGTATCGTAACGAGCTAGCGTTATGTTACCACTAATTATTTCTGTCAACTGTACTTCCTCAAACTGCAAAAAAAAATACAACATAATAACAAAATAGGATAATTGTTATTTGTTGTGTTTACCATTCTGCAAATTTTCTTGATATTTTTATCAGCGTTTCGCCTCTCGGCATTATCAAGCTGTCTATAATATCTACTAATGCCGAGAGGCAAAGCGATCGTCGCTGACAAAAATATCAACAAAAGCAGTAGAAAGTTATACACAAGAATGCAATTACGTCTAAGCGAATTTGGAAAAACCAACCTAAAAATAATCTACAAAAAAATATTTAATGTGCACGCGCCTTATTTATCATATAAAATATGCCATTCCAATATAAATCATAAATTGTTCAAAATTATGATTTTTAACATGAGTAGGTATGCTAATATTCTCACTAAATTTTTAACCTTTATTACCTACTAAATAATTTAAAGTTTCTTACAGATGTGATATGCTGGGGTACATCATGTCCACTAGCCTCAACGGGTATGTCCTCGTACTTGCTAAAATTGATGCCAGTATTACCAGAACCAAATAATTCCATTTCAAGACGTTCATCTCTAGGCATTGGCATAGTCCAATCTTCTGAATTACGTGCTCTATCACTCCAGCGATTTCCTCCGCTATTTTCACGATTTTCATTCCAACGACCGTTATCTTTGGGTTTTTCTGGTTCCTTCCAACGATCATTACGGGGCATGTCACGGTCCCGGTCAGAGAAGCGATCTCCGCGTCCCCAATCACGTCCGTTTTTATCGGGAACTTCGCCATTCTGATAGAAATCCCTTCGATTACGGGTATTAAAACTTGAAAAATCAGCGCCGCGGTCCCGTTCGTTGCGTATATCCCGACTGTCGCGATTATCGCGATCAGAACGGCCGTCACGACTACCACGGTTTGTATAACTGCGGCTGCTGCTGTTTCTTGAGTCGTTGCGATCTGAACCACGGTCCTTATTAGAACCACTATCAGAAGATTGATTTTGTGACTTATTCCTCAAATGTGGAGGCACGTAGCGTGCAGTACCACTTGTGTCACTGCGACGCTGCAAGTCCAGACCAGCAAACTGAAACATATGTACAAATATGATAAATAATATAAAAGATAAGTTCATAGTATGCATATATTGTATGCACTTTTTATAATTTTCCAATGATTCATAATAAACCTAGCACCCTGTTATTCACAATCTTGTGGATGGGCTCTAATACGCCAACAGTCAAATTATTTTAAGAATGGAGTCACTATTTTATTTACTTATTAAAACTTCTATACTTCTTTATTTATTAAAAAAATCATTAAAATAAAATTGAAATGTTAAATATAACAAAGCGATCAATAATAATGGAAAGAAGGACGACCTCCATTATGGAGCTTCCTGTTTCTTCATTATTGTAATAATCTGAAGTATAATTCTGACTTACCTGCTGCTCTAGACCTGATTCATTTTGGTTGGGTGCATTACTCATATTACTTCAAATCAGTACGTGTTTTGGATTTCTTCCACTATGAAAACCCACTAAAATAAATTTATTTTCTTAACTTTCAAGAGCACAAGCGAATATATAACGGGAAGATATCAGCGCAAGTCGCAATAATGTCGCAAGCAGTCGTAAGAATATGGCGGTGTTTCAAGATTACAACGGTTCTGATTCCTTACACTAAACCGGCACTGTTTTAATTAATTCAATATACAAGAATGAACTCGACAGAAATTTAATGGTAGTGAAAAAAATTGACATTGTTTGACATTTATAACAGTTAAACTTTTATAAAATCTATTTTTAATGACAATTTCTGTTTCTATGAAGTATTTATTTATTTATTTTTATATTACTTTTGTTTCAATCATAGACAAGGTTTCAATCAACAATTAATGAATTAATGCAAATGTACCATAGATTAAAGAAATAATACCCACTTGATACAGGTCCGAAAAGTCAGTTTAAGTAACACTAATCGTTTGTTCGTAATTGTTCGTCAGAAATAGTCCCACCTTTTAGAAAATGTAACTTTTTTGCTTTAAATTGATTAATTAATATTCAGTATCGTACATTCGACGATCATTTACATTTGTTCGATTGTAAGTAATGTTTAATTACAATTTTATCAATACATATTTTTATTGAATTTTTTATTGATATTACTAATACGCGTGTGCGTGTCGAAAATATGCATTTTATCACGTCACCTATTAGAAATTACCATAGAAATTATAAATCTGTAATCTATTGTTCTTCATTTATGTTGAGGTGCATTGAAGTTTGAGGTTATACGTCTAATGGCGTTTGCTAAAGACATTTACGCACTGTTCTTAATTCAATGCTGTTAATATGCCCATTCAATAAAAATATTTAAAAAATGTAATTAAACATTATTTATCATTGAACAAACCATACTGAATATTGATTGATCGATTTAAAGAAAAAAGTTATTTTTTCTACAAGGACGGATAAGTTGACAGTGAAAATTTGTTTAATTTTTTATAAATAAACGAAAGACGAACAAACGATTAATACTGATAAACAATTACGAACAAACTATTAGAGCCAATAAGAAAAAGTAAAAAAAGTTCTTGGACGGTTTAACTTTTCGGGCTTACTTGATACCCGACTTATATATCTTATCTATGTGCACATATAACATTTAAACATTTAATACATTTGAAACATTAATCAGGGTATGAAATGCAGGGTATGAAATGTCGAGCGCGAGCGACACCTAAGTTTACCCCACGTAAGTTTTTAAATTTTTTAAATTGCCAAAATCGACATTACCGACATACTAGGCGACATACATTTTACTGAAACGACAACAGATGATGCGACGGCGGTTGCGATTATCGGAGGAATTCCCCAGTAGTTGTGGCGTTATTGAGCAATAGTGAGTAGTTTCACAACTTGTTATATTTTAAAATTTTTGTGAAAAGTACTTTTACCTATCCTGAAAGTAAGTAATATATTAAGTACTTCAATCATGCTTTACAATAAGTAAAGAAAGGATGTTTTCTGCCCAACACAGAAAAACCGTGATGTACAGTCTACACTATTACGGGGTCAAATTAATTTGAAATGTTCTACCTAGATTATACAGTTCCTGCAGGAGTTAAAGGTGAAGAAGCCGCTTTCCATTTTCCTGAAGTAACAGCGGTTCCAACGAAAGTGGCAGGTATTGTAATTTGTTGTTGTGAAACTTAAGTTCTAAAAAAAAATGTTTTGTAGAACTTCTTCTAATAGAGGAATAGAAGCAGACGGAATTGCCCCATTAAAAGATGAAAAAGTACTGCATCCAGTGAAAACATATGACGGGAAAAGAAGAATTGTTTCAACTGCAGGTAGTTATGCAGATAACAGTTTCAAATATCCAAAACATATATAATTATTTGTTATAGAAAGTACACTCACAATGGACAATACAGAAGCTAGTATTTCTGCAGTTTCTGAATCGTTAGCACCCCCTGTAGAAGCAGGAAGCAGTACTAAATTAGGTAAAGAACAATTTCTTTGTTCATACAAATATACCTGTATTAGTATCTATATTTTAATTAATTGATGTTTGCTATTTACTCGTATGTTGTGCTAATTATATTTATTACTGCATTTATACTTTGTTATTAAATTTGTTAATCTTTTTTTTGTTTTTTTTTTTTCAATTTCCATTTAAAACAAAAAAAAATAAAATTTGGTTTAATTTTGAAATGCGCGCCTTTGGTTACGCTTAATAGTGTGATGTATAGATGGCAGTGAAATTCGAAGTTTTCTTTGCCAATACCATTTATATATATATTCCAAGTATCGTCTACTAATGTGGGGTAAACTTAGATGTCATTACTTTCGTCCAAATCTCGAGAGTTTTACATCTATTTACCTAGTCTAGGGTTTAGATGCTGGTATCCATCGTACATCTATAGTATTCAAACTAATCCAAAAATCCAATTCAAAGACAGTAATAATCTAAATGTGAAGGTATTTATTTGGAAATTGTCAATTTTGGTTATGGTTACCTAATCATAATATAAAATACACTTGACAATTCAAGTTTTAATGGATGTTACTTAAATAGTAAAAAATGTATGCTTTAAAAACTTTTCATATTGTAAAATTGAACACTGGAGCTGCAGGAGTTACGTGCTTCAAAATATGTAATTACAGTACCGGTACGGCTACTGATCCTAAATGTTTTAATTTGGCTTCGTTGAAGAGAGGCACAGGCGGGCGAAGCAGTTTTAGTGGCGTAGTAGCCACTGTTTTCGGAGCAACGGGTTTTTTGGGAAGATATGTGGTAAATCGACTAGGTAAAATAGGTTCCCAAGTAATTATTCCTTATCGAGGAGATTCCTATGAACCTATGAGGCTAAAAGTAGCTGGAGATCTTGGACAAATTCTTTTTCAACATTACCATCTACGAAATGAAGATGCTCTAAATAAGGCAGTTTATTATTCAAATGTTGTAATAAATTTAGTTGGCCGAGACTGGGAAACTAAGAATTTTAAGTTTTATGATGTTCACTGTAAAGGAGCTGCTGCTATTGCAAGAGCAGCCAAAAAAGCAGGTGTTGAAAAGTTTATTCATGTGTCTGCTTTAAATGTTGACAAATCATCTCCAGGTCATGTATTAAGGAGAGGTTCACAGTTTTTAGCAAGTAAATGTGCTGGTGAACAAGCAGTTTTAGCAGAATTTCCAGATGCTGTTATAATAAGACCTGCTGATATGTATGGTCAAGAAGATCGTTTCTTAAGATATTACTTGGCCTTTTGGAGACGACAAGGCACTTGGCTACCTCTGTGGAAGAAAGGGGAATGTACTGTTAAACAGCCAGTTCATGTCAGTGATGTTGCTCATGCTATTATAAATGCTATTAAAGATCCAGATTCAAATGGTAAAATTTATCAAGCTGTTGGCCCTAAGCGGTACAAGCTATCTAGCATAGTAGATTGGATATACCAATTAACGAAAAAAGATGAAAGTTGGGGCTACTGGAGATACGACATGCGTTATGACCCATTGTTTAAATTAAAAGTATCTTTGACAAATGCTTTATCTCCCAGTTATCCAGTAGCAAACGTTCACTGGGAAAGAATTGAAAGAGAATGTGTCACAGATGATGTAAAGGAAGATTTGCCTACATTAGAAGACTTGGGAGTAACTTTAACTGCAATGGAAGATCAAGTGCCATGGGAAGTGAGACCATTTTATCGAGGAAGATATCATGACAGAGATTTAACTGAATTTGGTGAAAGACCACCCCCACCACAACCTGTTGTATGAATTGCTTTAGAAAATTCTTAATTATACATTTTTACTGTAATTATTATAAATAAAATGTAACTTTAATCCATTTATTTTTTTATACATAATGCAATTACTATTAGGTTTTGATTCAGTGGCTAGTTAGACACTGAATTTCTTAGATACAGTTAATGAGTTTTATTAAATTCAACTTATTGCTGATAGTAGGGATACACTATTAAATTGATATATTTAAAAAATAATTTCAACAAAAACGTTTTAACAGTATTCGTTATATTTTCAATAAAATACAATGAAAACTGTTAAAGTAAAATATTGTACATTTAATCTTCTTTTTTGGTGTCAGTTTTACCACCACGAATACGACCAGTCCTACGGGCAGCAATAAGACCGACTTTACGACCAGCAGATGTTCCACGTTTAACTGTCGACGCTTTACCAATATGTTGATGGTTACCACCACCATGTGGATGTTCAACTGGGTTCATAGCTACACCACGTACTTTAGGCCAGCAGTTTCTCTTTGCCTTATATTTATGATAAGCTCTTCCAGCTTTCAAAATGGGTTTATCTACCCTACCACCTCCAGCAACAATACCTGAAAGTACGTATGTGTGTTTATGTCTAAAAAATCAAAATGTGATAAAAAGAAACAGAAACCCCGAAGTACTATATTGTAAATCTTATAAGTACACTTAATTTCACCGTAGAATCTTTCGTGATAAGAAACTTTTTACATTACGTGGCATGACTACTTCTTCTCGATTTTTCCAGAAATAACAAATTGTTTTGGACGTTTGTAGTAGCTTTAACGTATAAAAAAGTTACGAAAGTCCGAAATTGGTGTAGGTACGGACAAAAATTCAATGAAATGTAATGAGTAGGTAATTATTATAAAAAGTCCTTGAATTGAATAATTTGGTCTTGAATGTGCTGTTAAGGTGAAGGACATAATCAAAATGTGCCATGTTGAATTACATATTGTATTTTCGAAAATGCAAATTTGTGACATTGACTGAGCAGTTGTTGCCACTGAACTGTCTTCAAGTTGTAGAAAAAAAGCAGTTGCAATGAAAGGAAATATATAAAATGGCAAAAATACAGATAAATGCAGTAAAGATTGCGAAAATGTGTTATGCTGGTTATAGGCAGGATGACAATTGACCCGAACAGTTGACAGTCAGGGCCGTACTTCGCGGAATTTCATCTGTCAAGAACTTTGGGAGCCTGTATCTCAGGCCACAGTGGTTTTCACATGGAATAAATAGAACCACACAATTGAATTTGGTGAGCACTATCTATCTGCCTGAATGCCATGTGTCAACTAGTCTGCCATGTAATGTAAAAAAAATGACCATAAATTGTGTTCGCATTCACTTACCAACCATGGCCCTATTATTTGATGGTATTACTTTCTTGGCACCAGAGGGTAATTTTACTCTAGTTTTTTTTGAATCAGGATTATGTGCAATTACTGTAGCATAATTGCCAGAAGCACGAGCTAAACGACCTCGATCTCCAGTTTTTTCTTCTAAATTACACACAATCGTACCCTCAGGCATGGTTCCAACTGGAAGAACATTTCCTAAAACATGATATAATTATGTACTACCAAAAATCAGTAAAAAAATAATCTGTTAATTCAAAGAACATTCAGAAAGAGCCTCTAGATAAAATCTCATCAAGAGTCAGGAATAACTAGAAATCATCATTGTACTTATTAAGTGTATATATAAACATCAGCATAACTTACCTATTTGCAAAGTTGCTTTCTTTCCACAGTAAACAAACTGACCAGTGTACATTCCTTCAGCAGCAATAAATAATTCTTTTCGAGTTTGAAATTTATATGGATCTCTAAAATGTACCGTGGCCAAAGGTGCTCCACGACCTGGATCATGGATAATATCTCGAACAACTCCCTTTATGTAACCATGGCGCTCCGCAAAATCTAATGATCGTAACTTTGGAGCACCCTTTCTTTTTTTTGTATGTGATTTGAAAACTGAACCTGCACCTTTACGTTGTGCACGAATAACCCGACCCATCTTGAAACGGGCCTAAAACATGGGATACAAAACACTAAAATAACCTCAAATGCATGAAAATCACTAAAATATTAAAGTAGAGAGCTTCAGAAAACTTTGTTTTAAGTAAAATAACAATAATTAGATTCGGATGATTAGCATTGTCTTAAATAAGTTAAAATTTACAAAATAATTACGAATCTCACCTTCGCCTTCTAACTATACAAATTAACTAATTAACTGTCACTCAACTGTCACTTATCTGTGATCCTATGTCTGAATCATATGTCATATCTATGAGCAGTATAAGCAGAGTATAAACCTAATAGAGTTTATACTGTGGTATAAGCAACATTACTCACATTACACATTTAGAATTCAAATGCAATAGTTCAAAAGTTCCCGCTTCTTTTGCGTTTAGTTGAAACATTTTGTTAAAAATACGTATACTATTATTATTTTAGTCTTAACCAACTTAAGAATTAATAATTAAGTTTATTTCAAAACAAAACTAATTCTTCTTTTGCTAAATTCGGAAGTTGCTTTTTTCAAATTTAAAGTATCCATCAGTATGTACAATATAATTTTTTTGTGGTTAAGTTTACTTCTTCAAATATCATTTTCATATGTTATTTTACCGCCAAATCAAAACCCAGTACGACATTTTTGTGTAATTGAATGTAATTCGTATTTGTACTCTTTTATAATTCTGTTCAGTAACATTACTTAATTATTAATAGCAATGGATGAAAATAGCGGTAAATTGTAATTCATTTCATTGTAACAAATAAATAGGTAACTTATTTTTATTTTTTAGTAAGTGTACCACGAGCTAAGAGGCAAAAAAAGGATAAATTGGGTAAAAATGCGGCCTTTGAGAAATTGCGACAGTTAAAGGGTTCAAAGAATAAATATGAAATAAATGATGTGGACAGCATTTATGAAGTAGTTGATGAAAATGAATATTCAAAGCGGGTGTTAGAGAGACAGTGTGATGATTGGATTGTAGATGATAGTATGTACATGTTTCTTTTCTAAAATTTTTAAATGTATTCACATAATGTTATAATAGACGGGAGTGGATATTATGAAGATGGAAGAGAGGTTTTTGATGATGATTTGGATTCAGAGTCTATTGCAGCCGCTTCCAAGGAGAAAGGGAAAGGCAAGAAAAAGAAAGCAGTATCTGACATATCCACTCCAAAAGGAAATTTACAATATATGCTTTCTACTATGCAAACTAAAAAGAAAGAGGTATTTTCAGTAATAATTCATTATACATAACAAATACACAAAAGTAATAAAATTTGTAGGATAAAAAACTAAATGAAGACCATTTACTGAAAGAATTAATATTAGAGTTGGATAATGATGAACTTTCTAATGGCAACAGTTCAGTTCTACCCAAAACTTCTGTTGAAAAGTCTAAACCCCATTATACCTTTACTTCTTCAGCTAAAAAACAAGCTGCAAAAGAGTACATAAAAAGTTTTGATGTTTCTTCTTCTGCATCCGACGATAAAGAAAAATTAAATGTCACCAAAAAACCATCAGAAATAATTTTCAAAGAAATTCAACATGCCTTGCAACCTGAAGTTAATTCATCTGATGTTTTGAGAAAAGAAGATAATGGAAATAAAAAATGTGTAGGAGACAATAAAATTAAAGAGTGTAAAGATGTAGAAAATACAGAAAATGAAGTAGATAAAATACTCGGTCAAACTATTAATGATAATCAAACTCAAAATAATGATAATACAAAAGAAATATTAAATGAAAGTAAGACAATTTTTGATTCCAATAATCAAGAAAGTTTATTGGATGATGATTTTGATTTGACTCAAATTGAAGATAATGAATTTAACGAAAATGAAACATTTAATGACCCTTTTATGGATCATATAGATCATCTAGTTAATGAGTATGAAACAATGCAAGAAAATGGTTGCAATAATGCTAAAATGGAGGTAGATGTTGATATTTCAAAGTTACCACTTGTTTTAAATGAAGATGGTATAAAGGTAAATTATATATTTCAACTTCTTTAAAAATCATGACACCTAATTTCTCATGTTTTAATCAGAGATGTGCAAAATGGCTTTTTAAAAGTATTTAAATATGTTTGGAAATTTTTTTTAAATAAAATACAAAATGCTTTGCTAATATTTTAAGTTCTTTCACACGTCACTGCTCTGTGTCGATTCTTATCACATCTTATAACACCCTGTATTATTGTTAATAGCTGTATTTATTAAATTGGCGAGTCAAATCAAATACTTAACTGATTACTGGCAATGTAAAAACATTTTTATAACTTCATTTGTAGAAAAATGTGTTTTTAATTAGTACCTAAATATTACATAATCTAATTTGGTTGATAGTGTGAATTTGATAATGGTCATAAATATTCCTTAACTTTGANTCTCTTCACAAGAGTGAATCTGTGTATAAATTATTTATTAATAACTTATTGTAGAAATGATTTTGAAACCAACATATGTTACCAGCGGAATTACCCCTAAAATGGCATACTATAGTGACTGAATAGCAATATTTGATCTTATTTATGTCAACTCGCTGTATATCACCCAAATATACATATCTCGCTTTGATTTTTCAAGCTATTATTTAAATCAGAACCAGTTTGAAATTAAAGAAGAGTAATTAGACTGAACTACGCATTTTTGAGAAATTTTTATTCATTTTCTAAAAAGTTAAAGTATACCGATGCAAATGCTCACTCGAAGTTTCAAAATTTAAATTTTTAATTTCAGATTATTAAAATATAAGTATGTATGAGTACATAATGCATAAGGATTTTTCAAAAATTTTTAGATCTAACTAACAATAAGCAATTTAAAAAAATACGAGACATTCTCCATACTTTCGGTTATTTATAACATTATATGAATATATTATTTATCAAATGTGAAAATAACTACGAAAAAAACTGTAATATCAATATAAAGTTAAACCCTTATTGTTTTTATTCGTAGGTTTTTCGCTTTTACTGGTGGGATGCTTTTGAAGATCAAAACAACAAACCTGGATTTGTGTTGTTATTTGGAAAAGTTTATAATGAAGAATCGTCTTCTTATATTAGTTGCTGCGTTGTTGTAAGGAATATAGATAGAAAAATTTATTTACTACCACGGCCACAGGTACGTTATTAATAAGAAATTATTGAAAAAATACAAAAAAAAGGGATTGATGAAAATCAAATTCTTACCAATTTTTAATAAAATACGTCAATTAAAAGTGCGTTTATACATATATCTACATTTGGTAATAGATATTTACTAATAATATTAAATTATAAAAGACATTGAAATATTAAGTTGCCTTATAAATACAGTATACATCCCATAGTGTGAGTATCGCATAACGGAAATCGCATACATTGTGGCCAGCGTATTAATTATGCTAGACTGCGAATAAACTAAATCTGTAGAAACGAATGCTCAGTGCTCTTCTTGTATTTGTTGGACATTCAAAAAAATAATTAAATTTCCACAAACTTTTATCATACTGATGATCGTTTCTCTGCATTGTAACTTCTTCAAAAAATACAATAGCTCTTAATAGAGCAAATCACAAAGTCAAGACAATGTTTATAAAAAGTATTTCTGATCACAAGGAGCAACTTGAACACATTCTAATTTGCTACGTCTCGTCAGCTATTTATTGTTGACCTCTTCGGGTAAAAGTAGTATATATAATAAATAAATGGATTAGATGTTGTCAATGAATTAAAAACTATTTTATAACTATAAAAGCATGTACAAGTTTTGAGGTAACTAGTAGTATCATTCAGACGATGTATATGGAAACACGAAGGTAAATGAAAGGTCGTAAATTAAATACACATTTACAGATTGGAACACAAATTGTTATAATAATAATAATAATTTTCATTTGCTTCTTGTGATCAGTAATACATTTTATAAAAATAATCATGATTGGTGACCGATATCAACAATTTAAGGATTATAAAATTATATGACGATTTTAAGAAAAAACTAATAAGAAAAAAAGCCATTATGCAAATAATAAAAAGTCTTCAGAAACAAAAATTTCTGATTTATTTAGCAAAAATGATATTAACATTTCAGTTTAATGCATTTGTTGCTTAATGTATTATATAATGTATGTATGTTGATTAATTATAGATGCTTACTATATTTCAACATTCATTAATGTGAATTAACAAACTAATGATCTGAACAATAACTGTTGTTTTTTCGGTTCACACCCTCTAAGGTTCACACTATTGAATGTCTGCTTATACGTTACTTTTGCACAACTTACTTTATTTTGCATAATTTTTTCTTTATTTCTTATTTCTAACTAAATTTTTTTTATTTTATGACAGTTTTAAGTTGATTCACGTTTGACTAGGTTTTCTTTTAATGTAAAATTGTAACGATACCCAATCGTGAATACAATAAAGCTTAGTTGGACTTAAAGAGTTACAATCACATACTTTGTTTAGCATGATTTTACTTATTTATTTGCATCATTTAAGGAATTATTTATTTCATTTTTGAAATTTCAATTTGACTGCAGCACAAGGAAACCCAAAAACCAGTTACTCTCATTGATGTTTACAACGAGTTTAATGATACAATTTCTAATGAACTAAATCTAGATACTTTCAAATCGAAAAAAACAACTAAAAGTTACTGCTTTGATCCTGAAGTACCAGTTGAGTCTGAATATTTAGAAGTGCGATATTCGGTAATGTATTTAACATAACATTAGTAAAATTTCTTACTTTATACTTCAATTAATTTTAATGTAGGCTAAATATCCAGCAGTCGATCCTAAAAGAAGTGGTGAAACCTTTTCGCGAGTATTTGGTACAAAAAGCAGTTTCCTAGAAATATTTTTGTTAGAACGTAAAATCAAAGGTCCTTGTTGGCTTGACGTGACCAATCCAGAATCAGTTTCCAACCCTATGAGTTGGTGTAAATTTGAAGTGAATTGCAATAAGGTGTCTGATATTTCTGTAGTAAAAAACTCCAACAATCTCCCTCCTCCTCCGCTTGTTGTAGCTGCTATAAATGTGAAGA